ACTTGTGCGTCTGGCTGGCGACAACACTGCGTGTATTTTGTTATTGTAAGTTTGCTCGAGATCGGTACTTTGCTTGTGCGTCTGGCTGTCGCCAGTTACCAAAACATAACGGATAGAGCCCTGGGAGCCCAAAGAGCCACTACGTGCCCACCGCTGCTCTAAACCAACAAACACTTTTCTCCGCTACAGCCACTCAACTAAAATTTACTTAAACCTATCTATGGCAGATTCTCGGGAAACTTCGGATAATAGTAAGGCACTACAATATTCTCACAAATACCTAATTTGCTGAGGATATCTTCAAAGCAGAAAGGGTTTCATACTAAGAGTAAGTTTTAAACCTATATACATATGTGTAAGACGAGCCCCTAGCTATTCTGGTACCAAAGTTCTCATCGATTTATCTTTTTAGAATTTGTAGCAAACCTTGTTTTTATACAAAAGTGCATTTAAAATTCGAATATTGGCGAATAGCGACAAAATAGGTATGAGTATATACAAGACAAACGATATCTTTAGAATGTTGATGTTTAAAAACTATTTTCGTTGAAAATGAGGGAAATCTATAACAAAATATCCAAATGAAAACAATATAAATGTATCTAATTGCAAATTATTACCGAATTCGTGTAAATTCGGCTTTGATGTATTTGCTTCCTAAACAAAGACATAAGACTAATTTAAAATAAATAAATGGTATCTATACGATTGCTAAAATACCTTTTCAATGTGTATGCACCGGCATTCATTTTAGACAATATTTGATTGCAAATTGAACTACTATTTATTTATTTCTCTATTAGAGTAAACGAAGCCAAGCTGCTTCGATCCTTCTGTTGCATTTGAGACCCCAATCATCGTTAAACAACGTAGTCCAGCAGGCCTTTTCTTATTAATCATCCATCTTTGCCTTAATGTGCGGTTCTTTTCTTCGTAAGTTGATTGTCGGAGATGTTAACTCTTTTGCCATTTTCCTATCTCGGCCTATCTCTTCTCTTCCGCTCCAAAGGTACACAACTTTTTACCTCATGCAATCCTTTTCTTTGTTGTTGCTTAAAGTGCAATGATCATTTCCGCCTGCTCTCAACTGTTCTCCCTAATTTTTGCAGACTCTGCTGGATCGCAAATAGAAAATGCCGTTCGACAGATTGGAGGCGTTGTAGATATTATGGACATTTTGTTAGGCTCTCTTTCGGGCTTTTTCAGCTACAACGTTCATACTTTTTAATCATTGTCGACTACCAACTCAACCAGTGAGAGTCCTTTCATTTATTCCATTTATTTCTATTTCGAGCAACTATGTATTTATGGACAGTCATAGGCTCTGCCGAGCTTGTTTCTGCATTTTATTTCTTTTAATTGCTGTTAAAATGCGTGCTCTTTGGTTACGGCACGTAGCGATGGTTGAGTTTGGTGCACAGAGACCTCGTTGCATACTGTGGAAATAGTGCCATAAAAGCCAGCCGCAAAATGGCGTCGAAAGCACTTCCGGTCGAGTGCGAGCCAAGTTTAAAATGAAAAGTCATGCACTAAAGTTTCGCGTTTGTGTGTAGTATTGTATACGCAATGTTTTGCACTCTCTTTTTTATATTTTTAATAACATACAAGTAGATCGGACCGTGTCATGAGTCAGAACAGGAGCGGGTGCGGGAGCCTGGTGCCGTATCAGAGGTTTTCCATGACGTAAGCGGCTATTAGAAAATTGCGAAAATTGCGCGCACGTTTCAAGCAGCAGCGTTGCAGAAATCGCTTTCCCCGTTGCACTGCATTCGCAATTGAGTGCAGCTCAGATTTATTGTTGGTAGTTGGTTGGACGTTAGGCATGGCGGGCATTGCTCGAATTTTAAACAGTTTTTCTAGCAACTGGCTATAGTAGATGCACTGACTAACTGACTGACTGACTAACTGATGCCTGCTTGATGAAGTGAACGAAATGTGCCTTTAAACGAAACATACATAATTTATACCGCTTAAGCGTTTGCGTTTACTTGAACGCTTTAAAGTCAAGCTCTCTCATACTTATGCGCTACTTATGCGCCATTTCTTCATCTGCTTCTTGAACGAGTGCTCTTAATTTGGCATGAAAATCTAGGCATATGCCTTGTGGGCTTTTCACTGTCGCGCACCAACACATACACACACTTGCACGCACACACAGCCATTGCACAGTGGGTTGTTGGAATTTGAAATCGAAGGTTATTCTTGTTTTGGTGCATCAAAGAAACTATTCGATTAAAATTACTTTTAATAATCTAATCACTTTGGGAAGTCTCTCTCTCAATCTACACAGTTTAATAACGTCTCTCCGAGGTAATCTCTGACCACATTCGACCGGAAATCGGGACTTGGGGAAATATTGCTAAAATTATATTTAATAATAAATATATACTCGCACAGAAATATCAGTAGAAGTTTGAAAAATACACGGGTGGTGTTAAAATTTGTAGAATTATTTGTGAATTGAATTCGTCATATCAAAGATGTTTCGAATGTAATGATTTTCTTAAAAAATACTTATCTGTAAAAATATTTTATTCTAAACTTATATCCAAGGCATACACAAGAGTTTAATCTTAAGGGAACTTGTATCACCTCTTTTTGTTTGGGAACAGTCGGGTTGTTTCAGGAGTTTATTTTATTGACATTTTGTAATTTAATTTGCCAAGATATAAAATAAAGAAGAACCCTCCTAGAAAGATGTTTTTGGCTGAAAACTGACATGGTTTTATGAAAAGTGAAGAATATGTGAAGTCATCAATAGAAATTTTCAATTGAATCGGACTCCCATATACTTTGAAGCAATTAGTCCTGTGTTGACCGATGGATCTTAATTAACTAAACACGTCTGCCACTGTATCGCTCGATTAACTTAATCACAAAAGCTTTCACCTTTAAATGACAAATTAAATATTTATTGTAAATGTAATGTTAAATTTTACATAAACGATGTTGGTCTATAGCTTAAGTCAAATGGCCTTAAACTTGTGACATCCTATATACGGCTTTAATCTTAATCTATGCTAAGCTTAAGAGATGGAGAGCACATACTACCGTTTGCTTATGTCTAAACGTATGTACATTTGTTTTGTTTCGATTAGTAGGACATAATTAGGTTAATGGAAGTGCAATTTGTTATGCTTTGAGAAACGCTATGTCTTAAGTTAGATTGCCTTTTGTTGGATTAAAAACAACAAATAGTGGGTCAGAACTAATGACAGTCGGAAGAAACGTGTTTCACGAATAAATAAATAAAAAGTTTTCAGAGGCTGCAGGAAATGTTAAAAACTGAATCGAAGGAGTGTTGATATGCAGTTCTTGGCGATAATTTCCAAGGTGCTGTTAAAATTTCCAGCACTTCTAAGGTGAATGTTCTAAATAGCTGTGAGATTGATATTGGTGGATACATTGTATTTATTATGCTGATGCATTTTAATAGCCTTGGCTAAATAAGTAATGTTGAAAATAGATATTTAAATTTAAATCATAAAGCTCCACTAGCAAGGTTTTCATTTGGAAAATTAATTTAATTCTAAAAGGGGACTTTTTGCTTTTCAAAAATTCGTACCACTATGCTAGGTTTATAACGTCTGATGTCTCCATCGATGTGGTTAGGCAAGAAGCCACCCACTAGGTGGCGTCACCACGTCGCAGCCACACCATCAACTTGGCACCCTGCGGCTGTGTCGTATTAAGTCTGAGTTTCGGAAAAATATTCCACGTGTGCACATTTAGCGTAAGCCGCAGCTAAATGGCAAAATCAATAGTGAAATGCTTCAAAAAATACTCTTGGTTAATTTTCCAATGTGAAAATGAAAATGAAAATTGTTGGGCGCACTGCGATAATTGATTGAATTTTGGTTTGTGTGGCAATTATGTAACGTGGCGCTCAAAATTGAAGCTGCCTGTCAACTTTAAGCACACAAATTCACATTTTTATATAGTATATACATATATATGTTTGTATGTATAAGAGGTTCGTTGTATGGGTAAATATTAGCGCCATCCTTTGCGCAGGGCAATCAAAATGTATGACAAGGAAAATTATGCGCGGCAAAACAAATATTTGAAATTCAAGATGGTGCCGTCTGTTCGACAAACGCACGCTACAATACACACGCACACACAAATACAAACATATTGACGCTTTCGCCCACACTCGGTCAGTGGCACGCCCTTTCAAACTCAAGGCCATGGATGACAGTTCGTTACAGCAATAGGAACAGCAACAGCAACAGCCATAGCACGTGTTTAATATGCGTCGCCATTAGCATCGCATCGTCGAGGCATTCATTTCTATGCCCGCCCAAAAGTAGGCAATGAAAATTTGTGCGGCTGCCAAAAATTAATTTTCATAGTCGCGGCCTACTTTTGTGTCGCGCTAAAAGATTGTCGCCATGACAATAAAGGCATCAAATGATTTGGCAAGTCTAGGCACTCAATTGATTATAATTCACTTGCATTATTTAACCTACAGCTTTAAGGCAATTGTCGCCATAACACCCGATATTTGAGCAGCTCATCAGAGTCCGCTACTTCTTACCTATTTCTCTGACTATTAATGCTACCTAAAGTTACGCTATCTCTCTCTCTCTCTCTCTCTCTCTTTCTCTCTCAGGTGCCAATGTCATCTAATTTATGGTATGCTAATTATTAGTTTTTGACCCATGGGAGTCTATGTATAGATCGTTTTGCTGGTATTTATAGCGGTGTTTCTAGCGGGATTTCTATCTATTTAAAGTGGGATTTCTAGATATTTTCTGGCGGATTTTCTACCCTTCCTCTAGCTCTCCAATGTACAAAAAAATTAAATCATTCTAATACAATCATTAAGTTTCACTTCCATAAGCTTGTCGCCCAGACACACACATTTTGTGTTGTTCTTTTTAAATGCAGACTTCCTACTCGATATATTGTATTGTATTATATGCTGTTCTACTTAGTTATTAAAGTGATAAACACACCGTGACTTCCAGCCTCTAAAAACAAAAAACAAAAAAATGTCATGGTATTGAACTGTCTAATATTTCAATTTTCTGTAAGAAAAGCCTCACTAAAAATATATTTATTCATAATTACATGTGATTCGCAATAGTAAGCCGTCATATCTCCTAACTATGTTTTTTTATAATTTGCTCGCAACTGAAGACTTTTGTTCCTGCTGCTGCTTTAGCTTTCTTCGCAGTGCGCTCTTCTCATTTAGCAATGAACAGCTCGTAGGTATCTGCGGACGATGTCGGCGTATGAAGGGTACTATATATTTGGAACATTCTGCGGCATTGGTGAGATGAACATCATGATTTCCAGGCAGTGTGTGGTACTCGAAGTACCAATTGTGCTCGCTTAGAATGGCAACGACGTAGTTAAAGTTTTTGTCGATATACGATGAATCTGAGCCGTTGATAACGAGAAAGGGTATATTCCCAATGCGTCGTGCTATATCGACAGACAGATTGTGAACTTGACTGGTATGGGGCTCCGAGTCGTCATCGTCAATTAAGTGCTGCTCCGGATTATCCTCCACGTGGTCGATTATTGCGAGAGTTTGTAGTGGCGGCATAATCGAATCTAGCGATATAATTATGTCTACGGTGTAGGGGTAGAGAGCGGCGTAAATTAATGATATAGCTGCGCCCATTGAGTGGCCCATCAACGACATTCGTGTCCATTTATACTCCTTCATGATGCGTGCAATGATGAGAACGTAGTCGTTAATAGAATACTGCCTACCCGTTTGAAGGTTCGAGGAATTTCCATGCCCTGGCAGGTCAATACATAGCAGGCCCACGTAACTGGGCATCAGCGGAATGAGTGCATCAAAGGTACGTCGATTATGCTGCCAGCCATGAATAGCAAGTATTGGCCGTACATTGCCATTTCCATACCAGCGACCGGATATGTGGCCCCAAGGCATATCAATCCGTACATCATTGTACTGTCAATCACACAAATTGGACGTAAATGGGTAAAGTTATCAGAACTAGCTATTCTACTCACATCGTTCAGTGACATAAAGGCCATGGCACATCGATCAGAGACCTTTATCTACACGACTATTTAAAGCAACTGTTTCAGCAGATGATTGTTTTTGATAAGGAAAGTCTTGAAACGGAAAATTTGTTCCATAATTATAAATTATCTGCACCGAATTATACCTTGTATAACAGTTTGGCCATTCATTAGTCACAGAATGAAGCAGTCTATTGCAGACTTAGCTGCTTTTGTGAATATGTTTTAATTAATATAGATTGTTGTTCTCCAAATTTAACTCCATTCTTTTCGTTCCCGAAGTCTGGAGTGATATACTTAGCTTTTTGTATGGAATGTGAGAGGTAGAAGTGGGCGTAAGAAGCTTGTATTGTGAAATATGACCAATAGGAAAACATCAAGTTAGTTTACATTTCAGGCTGTACTCATAGGTTCATGCACGCATCTTCATGCCACAGCTGATTTTAGTTTACACTCATAATTGCAATTTCACCACCTGGTTTACTTGCTGTTCATTTATGTGCGCCTGGTACCGAGCTATTGGTTTCGTCACAGAAAAGATTGCCGATCCAGCATTCAAAACCCATCGCAAAAGAGGTTTACTTCTTTATTTAAAATAGCTCCCATGCGATATTTTTATCTAATAGCAAATTAGCAACTAAATATATTATATATATATCTTTTTCATTTTTGTTCACTGTTACGTTTATTGGAATACTATACATTCTCACTAATTATAGCTTATTTAGCACCCTTGGCTTTTGTCTACGCCAAATGAAAAAGCGCTCTTGCGCCTTTCGTCGCTGGTCCCTCTTGCCAGACGCAGCCTCCTCTTCCGCCATTGACCAACTGCCTAATGTGGGCGGACGATGATGCCGTATGAAGGGCACAATGTATTGGGCACATTCCGTAGCATTCGTGAGATGCACGTGATGATTGCCGGGTACCTCATGGTACTCAAAATGTGGGTTCTGTGAGCCCAAAATGGACAGGACTTCGTTGGAACTTTTGTCAATGTATGTCGATTCTGAGCCCTTAATAACGAGGTAGGGTATTTTCTTTATGCGTCTGGCCATTTCGGCAGCCAAACCCGAATCTATGACGAATAAATTGTAGAACTTGACGCGACCATCGCGCGAGAAATAAAACTTATCCGGATAAAGTTGAGACTTTGCCACGCTTCGGTAAAGCAAATGTGGTGCAAATTCTGCCGGTACCGAGTTCCTGCTGCCTCGGGTGATAAGTTCCCGCAACTGGGGAAGGGAATAGGAAGGTGGTTCGTGGAGCTGCCATTCAGCGGAACGTTCGTCCTCGACCAGTTGTTTTTCCGTAGAATATGACATCATGTCTATTAATTTCGCGCCTAATATGGGAGGTATCAGAATATCCAATGAAATAACCATGTCCACCATATGAGGACAAAGAGATGCGTAGATAAACGATATCACACCGCCCATCGAATGACCCATCAACGAGACCCGCGTCCATTTGTACTCCTTCATCACTCGTGCTATGATCAGCACATAATCATAGACTGCATATCGCATGCCTGCCTGTAAACGACTAGAGCGTCCATGACCGGGCAGATCGATGCATAGAACACCCAAATAGTCGGGCAGGAGTGGAATTAGAGTGTTGAAGCTGCCCAGATTGTCTAGCCAGCCGTGTAGGGCAAGTATAGGTCGTTCGTTCCGATTGCCATACCAGCGACCCGTAATGTCACCCCAAGGCGCACAGATCCGCACATCTTCGTACTGGCAATAAATCAAAAAGTGCATACACATAAATAAGTCGAAGTAGGGTTCACAGCAGTGCCGACGGCATTGTCAATTTAGCTATTTTCCCGCCAGTTCTCAAGTTTTTCTTATATCGACTCTGGCTGGTGGGAATAACAGTACTCTTCTTTCTTATGTAACTTTCTTGATAAGCTCTTACCAGTCGGTGTTTAAAAAAATGTTCTTAGTCGAAATTATTTTTACAGTATAAGGCATTCCCTTCAAAAAATGATAAAATGGAAATCTTCAAAGTCCCCTAAAAAGAAATGAATTTTATAAAAGTAGCAATAAATGTAATTCATGAATGTGTGCTTTTCGGATAGAAACGATTTGATTGTAAATCCTAATCTGCAATCGTATCATGCTATGATCATTGAATGGAATTGGTTTAAATAAACAAATTGAGGTCTATCTAAAAAAAAGTGATATTTATTGGTGCAGCATTTTTCTTGCAAATATTTCAACTATTGACACGTTTCACAGAAATTCTCAACTTTCCCTTTTTTGTTGCGGTTTTATTGGATTTGTCCGACAGATGACATGCTTGTTTTTTTTTTATCAATTTATTTACCTGTCTGACCACAAATATTGTTTGCTTAAATTAAGCTTTTCACTAGCCTCAATTTCTAGCTAGTTGTATTTTCCGATCTAGCCTTTTTTGTCGTTAAAGTATTGACAACACTATGTCGGCTACCAGCTGCTTAGGGTTTTCTGCTTACTCACATCAGTCAGAGACAAAGTTCCCATGGCTGTCGAATGAACTTTGGACGCCGCTTGGAGTTGTTTCGGTTTAAAAACAATATTTTTAAAATGTAAAAAATGACTTCTTCGAAGCGAGTATTTTTATGTTTAGTTTAAAAAACAGTTTCTATAAGTTATGTTTACATTTCAAACAAGCGCAAAAAAAGTAAGAAATCAATAAACAAAATAAACACACCACGTCTGCCTTCAAAAACAGCTGAGCGCCAACTAAAACACTCAACTTTTGGTCTCTCAGCGAAGCTTTGTGCAGCTTTTTTAAAGCTTTAACAGCTCTCTCGGCGCTGAAAGCTTTTAACGCTCCCAGAACCAGAATAGATCATTGTTCAAAGACCGGTTGATAAGAAAACAGCTGCTGTGATGTTTTCGTTATTATTATGTGTTGAAGCAAGAGATTATTTTTTAAGATTAGTGCTTGGCAGATATTATAAATATGTATGTATGTATATATATGGGGCGAAATATTATTGAAATCGATGCAGTTTCGGCTTTTTAGCATTCATGCATACAAGTATAATATCAGAGATTGAAGCTGAACAAAAATCACTTAAACATCGGACGTAACCCAGCAATATTTTATTTTACTTTGATTAAAAAGTTCGGACTCTTAATACAACCCTATGTCTTAGACTAGAAATGAAAACCAAAGGTAAAAAAAAGTGAAATATGTATCAAAGATAATAGCTATCTTATCGCATAAATAGAATTGTTCAGTTTTCCTTTAAGTTATTTAAGAAATTTATCAATAATATAAAGAAAAGAAAAGAGAACGGTTATAAAATTTCGATATTTTATATAAGAGAAGGGACTGCCTTCCCTTATTGGCCACCTACACCATAAGAGAGATCTTGAGACCCAATTTCAATTTCCTAGCTCTTAACTTTTTTTGTTCCAATTCTTCAATAGGAAACTTGTAATAACTCATGAAAACACCGAATCCAATATTTTGCTTCTTAGAGTATGCAAATCTGGAGCCTTATTTTCCCCTTTGAAGTTAGAATTTTTCAAAACCGCTTCTTAGTGCTCACATACTCTGTGAAAGAAAACTTTCGTCCCAACTTCAGATTCCTAGATCTTATCAAAAGTTAAACGGCAGTGCGTTGATGGCTTATCAGCTAGTCAGAACAAACTAGCTTATATATAGCATATATCTATTTTAACCACTTAGTCTACCATGTAGATCGTCAAAATAATTATAAGTATAATTCTAACTCATATCATATACTAGAGCGAACTTAATTAATTTCTCTTTCTCTTTGTTTTCTGCCCGTTATGTGAATATAAATAGACCTTTAAAAATTAAATGTTAGTATGAATACCTACAAACGTGTATATAAATTGAAAACAAAGTTTAACAATTAACTAAGAACATCTGCATGGAAACAAATTCTAACACCGATAAGGCAAAATTACTTTAATTATTAAAAAATTTTATTTTGACAAAATGTATTTTCTCAACTATCTACTTTCCCTTTTCGGAAACACAGCGTAATAAAACCTCATTAACTATTGTTTCAACAATCTTTGTTGCGTATCATATTAGTTTATTGCTCTCTTAATGCTTTTCTTATCAGTAACAACAAAATTGTTGGCGCACTAACTCAGAGCTTGCACATCTCAGTCGATCTATAGTATTTATTTAAAAAAGGTACAATCAGGGCAGCAAGGCGCTATGGATGTGTGATGTGAACATAATGGTCCCCAGGCATGAAACACCTCAAAAACATTGTGCTTCCTTAGCCTGAATATTGTTGGTACTATACTGTCATCCATAAACGGCGAGTCCTTCGCTCTTATAAGCAGATAAGGAATGTTACGAATACGTCGGCTCGCTTCTATTATAGCTCTAGAATTGCCTGGAAAGCGACTAAAGTAAAACAAGCGTGAATCACGAAATATATAAAATTTTGCGGCATCATCAGTTGCCGGAACAATACAACGCTCCAGTAAAGGCTGAGCGAGCTCTTTGCTCACAGATGGCGCTGGTCCCCAACGTATCCGTTTCACTTCCTCTTTCGAGTACAGTTTGCCAGGCTTCGGAGGATTCAGCTTAGCCTCTTCCATTTGTTCAATATTCCTCACCAAAAAGTCGTTTGAAGTGTAACGGGAATTCAAGAAATCCAAAGCAATACACATATGAACCTTTTCTTTTTTGAAATAAGGCAGCATACAAGTACAAATGGCAGAGCGAGGCTCCAAAGGAGTGTCCTAGAAACGAGACACGTGGCCATTGGTAGTGAATGGCAATACGATGTATAATGCTGACCCATTCTAAAACGGAATACTGCATGCCGGGCGGATATGGCGAGGATCGACCGTGCCCAGGCAGATCAATGCATAACACACCCACATGCCGGGGCAGCAATGGAATTTATTGATGAAACGTGGCCAAGTTGTCCAAAAAGCCGTGTACAGCAAGCAGTGGGCGCACAGAATTATTTCCGTACCGGCGGCAGGAGATGTGACCCCACGTACTTCTATTTCGGAGTCAATAAGCTGAACTGGTAACTCGTTCTGAAACTCAGCACGATCTTTCTTGTTTTTGTTATCTTTCTCGCCACTCATGTTACGATCGCGTTTTGTTTTAAAACTTTTCCTCAGAAATAGCAAACAGAACACATCTGCCCTAGACGCTTCTAAGCAATAACTGAATCAACAGAAATTCGACTCTTGGCGAAGCGCTGATGATTTTTTGGACACTCTTTTCGTTGCTCTCAATTACCAAAAAATAGAAAGGTTCTTATTGCTCATTTTTTTGGAGACCAGCTGATTAGGCGAGAGCTTTTGCCCAATATTTGTAAGCTCTATTTGGTATTTTTTGATATAGTTGAATAGAATTATTCCAACTTGAATTTGTCACAAATTTAGTGGAAAATTAATTTAAAAAATTAAATTACGATAAAAATGTTATAAAATTTAAATTTTTCCCTTAAGTTTTGGATCTTTAGCTCTTATAATTATCAAATTAAAAAGAATCTTGACGAGGTACGAAATTTTGTAGCGAAAGTAAGCATATAGTCTGATTTTCTATGAAATTAAAGGATGCTTCTGAATTTTAGAGTGGTTGCAAAATATTAGAATGGTATAAATTATACATAATTTAAATTACATGCAGCATTCTTTTAGGATGAACTTTTCGATTATATTGCTTACGTTAAGTATTTTGTAGTGTGTTTTTTGTCGGCTATTAAGGATTTCATTTTGAATTTATTTCCACCGACTGAAAGGCAAATTTCAGAAACTTTTCAATTCTAAATTGTACCTTTAAAAAATATGAAAATTATGCCGAAAGGTCTTCTTTCCCAAAATGAATGTTTGAAAAATATTTAAAGTCTTGGAATGTAAGTTAAATATTGTTGTAGTACATCTTTATTTGTTATAATTTATATACAATTATCATAACATTATATTTTCTTCAGTTCAGCGTCTGCTGACTATCGATGCGCAGGAACCATGCAAATGTGAATGCAACTGTTTTACGAAAGTTGTAAAAAATATAAATATGGAAAAACAATTTCATCACTCACTTATCATTAGAAAACATAGCCAAACGAATGGCGCTACGCAGTTGATTTGAATGAAAATCGGCAGCAACAAGTTGCCGCTGACCGAGCCCAAGCGTCCGCAGGTCATTATCAATAATATGACCATAGTTCTGTGAAAATATTGTCAGACTAAACTATTCATATTTTCGATAATGCCGTACCTCATTAGCGTGGGAAATATGACGACTGTCATGCTAATCACTGTCGTAGCACAAATACCCATCAGAGTGAGATAAATGGCAGCTAGAATCAGAGTGGTCCATGTCGTTTGCGCAAAGTACAAGCTTCCCACAATGAATGTGGCCAGAAAGAGGCAAATTTCTACAAACAACGATATAAGTATTAATGGAAAATTTGATTTTCTTTGCATGAGAATACTTACTTAATATGTGATTGGCGACTCGCGCGATTCGTAGCAATGGAAATACAGCCAAAAAACCGATCAGACCAACAATCGCCACCATTATGTTATCCTGGTATGTCTCTGGTCGCTGATGCTGATTATTTGGGATCATTATTTTAGAGCCTGAACTGGCAGACAATGTGGTTCCTACCTACTATATCACATTCCTCCTGCTGGATGATCGGATCAAGCGGTTCGGTGCGTGAATTATGCTTAAGCACGGCACACATGCTCGTATCGTTGATGCCCTGCATCTCGAACTGTCGCATGGTGGCGAATATTTGCGGCAGCCAGAGACGCACTGAGTTCACCCTGCAAATTAAAAAATGCCATCATTAATTCTATATCTTTATCAACAATACCTACGACATGATCTGACAAAAGTGTAGGAAGTACACCTGCAAAGATATGGTCAGGTATGGGCTAGAGAACATCGGCTTCAGCTGCTTAAAGCCATTGATGAACTTCATCTTGGCTCTGGCATATCGTTCCTGGAATGAGCTTCGCCGTTTGGGATCCAGATCCTCGGAACGATCGGGTGTGTCATCAGTCAGCTTTTTCACCTACGCAACAGCGCCTGTAGTATTTAGCTTCTCTGTCTAATCACTTACTTACCGGATAGCTATCACGACTCTTGTGCTTATTTAGGGCATAGATGCGTTGAAGTGCCAATAAGGCCTTGTTGTAGTTTCCCTGAGCCATGAGAAACTTGGGGCTTTCGGGAAGAAAAATGTGCAGGAAGCCACTTAAAAAGCTCGGCACGGCCGTCACAGCCACAAATATGTGCCATGTGTGAACTGAAAAAAAAAAATATAGTATATGAGCTGGGAACATCAACTTTTTTCTATTGCGAAAAGCCGTTACGCGAGCCTCTAGAAAAAAACTAGGACAATATATTGTCATTTTAATTTCTTTGTTCCTGATAGTTAACCTAAAGTAAAGTAAATACGCGACGTTCTTTTAAAGCTAAAAAACATTAAGTATGCTTTTCAGGATCAGGATCAGGGTCAAGTATCATAAACAAACATACTATATAAAACAAGAGAGACATTTATCCCAACAGACGAACGGACGGAGACTTCTTGATTGATTTGCCATATTTATGGGATGTACTTGAAAATAATATATGGGATCGTAGAAGCTCCCTTCTGACTACATTGGCAAAAGCCCCTCACCTAGAGGGGTATAAGAGCAAATTATACTTACAATGCAGGGGCCCCGAGTTGAAGCGTAAATGCAAGGGCAACAGAAAGTAGGCTATGAGCGGCAGCACCAATGCGGCCATCGATACGCTCAGTCCGACAAAGAGCATAATATAGGGCCTGTGCTTCTTGCCATGGAACTCAGCGAGATAGGAAACGACCACAGCAAAGGGACCACAAATGCTAAAAGGGGAGGGCGACCATTGAACAACATCGGTAGAATTAACAACTTTTTTCAAACATACATGAAACCATCAAAGAACTTGAACACCATTAGCTGGGAGGGATTTTGACTGAGCGCTGCGCAGAGCACAAATATGCCATCAATCCAGCCTCCACAAATCAATACCAGCCGGCGCCCCATTGTGTCCGCAATGAAGCCCCATGGTATGGCGGATATAATCATGCCTGCATAACAAAGGATCTATAAATTAGAGATGCAATGTTTTCACCCTCATTTATGGCATCTCACCAACCTCCATACGTGACCGCATTCAGCATACCTTTTTCCACTAATGACAAATTCAAATCGCATTCAGCTGTTGGCAGTATGTAGGATATAGTGGAGGCCGAGAAGACCATGGCTGAGAGACATGGCACAGCACAACACATTATAAACACGTTGAATAGTCCAAAGCCGCAGGCTTCAATTGCAGTTTCAAAGTCGGCGGGCTCATCTCTTCCGGGTGGAGGTGCTGCCATCTATATTTCAATGATGATTTGTCAAAAATTCTTTCAACTTCTGCATCTATATCATTTCTAAGCACGAAAATTTTGAAATATATCATTCGGCCTTCTACTATCCAATTAAGTTTCAAGGCAAAGATTTCGAACATTTTCATTGTCGCTTTCCATTTTTAGTTTCGTTCTCTAAGGCTTGGGGCGGCTGTCTTGCTATGCCTTAGAATGAAACCTTGAATAAAACACTTGACTTAATTGAAGTCATTAACGACCTCCAGTTTTATCTGAATCTAATCTAATTTTATATTTGCTGACATATTGCATTTCATAAAATATTCCTGATGCCACAATTTGACGCAATTTTAGAATCTTTTCTGCGACTTATGAGCAATACCTGTACTGCTACACTCTTAGACTTGGAAATTCAATATTTAAAGTTACAGCCAAGCACACAAATATTTTACACGCAACTCCTGCATGTGGGGTTTCTTGAAAATATAACAAGAACTAATTTCAAGAAGTGAAGAGCTGTGAAAAATTCTAGTAACAAATACCATCTGACGAATGAAACGCTTTAATTTCAAGATAATATTATGGAAATTAAAAGGTATCTGAAAATATCCCCAACTAACATACTATATGGTCTAGCTCATAGCTTACTGGTTAGAAAATAAACAAAATCTAAGTCAAATAACTTTTTAAAACAAAAGGTGAATGAATAAAATACAAAATATTCTGATAGGATTTGACATTTGTTAATTGTTGGGTAAAGTTAGAGCATTCGAAACTATGGATTTTATTCGCATTTTCTTAGGGCTTCTTCTTCACAATTTCATTTAATTTATACGAACTACTATGCTTACCAGGGTAACAAGCTTACAAAATATGAGCTTCGATAATGCTATCGATGTAATGTATAATAAATTTAAATTTAGATATGTTCAGCGACATTATTTTAAGTTTTAAATAGGCTTTCAGAGATATTACCAGGCAGTGGCTTCATCCTTGCCGAAGCAATGTTTTTCTTTACTAAAATGCCAATTTTTGATTCGAATAAGTATAATCACATAGACCGATATCTGAGCCATATCATCGTTCATACTATACTTTACATTACCTTATTTATGCTAATTCCAGATTGGACAAATTGTTGTGTCTGTTGTCGGCCATTGCGCCTGTTTCCCGGTCGACTACTAATTGGCAGCCACTTCTTGCCTGCCCTCATAAAACAGACAATGGCGATGATTTACATCCACTGTGCTGTAATTTCTCGCCTGCAATTGCAACCATCTGACGACATTTTCAGTCTGCAAATGGTTCTCCAAATGCATATTCATGATTTATCTTTAATTCATGTTGCAGTAATTTATCATTTCTGACTCGGGCAACTTTTGCGGCTGTGCTGTGTATTCTAGGAATTTAATGCAAATTGTCTGGAGCATTCCCCGAAGTGAAAAAGTTCCATTTCATAGGCACACTCGCACACACCAATGAACACACAAATATACTTGTATACAAACATACTTATGTATACTCGTATATTCAACTTGTATTTGCTCTGATGCTGGCCTTGAATCCATAATTTGCCTGTCAGCGGCAGCTTCAAAATTTGCGCACATAATTGAGTTGAAGCATTTGGAAGCCAATTATGATTTTACATTTTCGGCATACAAACGCCACCAGGCAACTACCCCCCTTCCCCACCCACACACACACACACAAACACACACACCCACCCACCATCCTGCCAGGCAGCGAGGCAGTCAGCGAGCCTGCCAGCTTCAAGCCATTTGCATGCTTCTCTTTGTGTTTGAGCTTCGTGCGCCTTTTCACATCTCAATCAACAGAGCGTTGCTTGCATGATGTCCTTGCTTCCTTTGTGCTTTGTTGTCATTATCGCCAGTGTGTCCTGTGTACTGGCATTGTGGTCGAAGCTGCTGCTGATGTTCTGCCTCATTGTTGTCGCTTGCTGCTGTCGCTTTAATTGCTTTTGCCACTTAACATATGCAAATTAATTTCATTTTTCTTGCTCACCATTTCCTTTTCGCATTCGCCTTTTCCATTGCCATTACCATTGCCTTCAACTATCCATTATTGCTATAGCTACGTGTCTTTCCTCTGTCCACTTTCCGACACCTTTTGCGGCCACGCATAAGTGCCTCATCGCACTGACAGTCTGTATCCTTCTCGCTCTCCTGCTCCCTCTTTGATAAATATTTATGATGCCTTGCTTTGACAGCATTGTTGTGGCCTGATATCGCATCCGACCCCAAAGAATATAAAAAGTAAAGCAGAAAAACAGAAAAACAGCGACGGGTTGCCAGCTGTATTCAATTTAGCCTGATGTATAAATTTTTGCTCGTATTTTCTCTGTTACCCAAGGTAAATAAACAATACCTGAGCTGAGACTCTAACCCTATGGAAACACATAAATATACATATGAGGCACTCAAGTATCCTGCTGACACCTACAGCTTTAGTTCCGTCGGCTAAGACACCTTTAACTTAACCCGCTCGACGCACAAAAGACAGCATAGCCGGAAGTTTCACGTTGACACGCGCACACACACACACATACACTAACCAAGAAAGGAGAATTTGGAGCTCCTATTATACTTTATGCGCTTCGGTTCACTTATTGTTGGGAATGTGGCGTATGTGTGTGTGTATTTAGGGGTGAACATGGGCCGTGTTTTCAGACTGTGGCCCTAGTTAGTGTTTATTCAAAAACAATTTATAACATTCTTACCCACTTGTATCTTTATTTTCGATCTGTCTTTTGGGTAATGAGTCAGTTTTGTGGTCCCATTGAAAATACATATATCTAAGTTTAAAATGCGCCCAAATTGTTGAGATAGACTACGAATACTAAGCGACTAGAAAAGAAGATATCAGCCAATAATAAAACAGGATAAAACATCTTAAGAAGCACATTTTTATGCATTTATCCTATATAATTAAATTTAAAAATGTCTTAATGTAAGCTATGTTAAATGTACGAGTATCTTCTTTTTTTGCATATCCAATATAAAATACAAAGCTCTTTCTTATGCACTTTATAATTTTAAATTATATTTGTTTTTTCTGTTAAGAATTTTATTGGTTTTTAAGTTACAATCAACATTTTATTATAAAAATGCCAATTTAATATCATTTTTTAGAGATATGAATATTTGTAATGTACTCATACGAGTATTTCTCATTTTGAAATTGCCTAAAATATATTATTGCGACATCCATTTGTTTATGAAGAATTTTTTGCGAATTTTATGTCTATACTAGGTTTCTCTATATAAGTTAGTTAGCTTTAAGTAAGTCTAGTAGATGGCGCAGGCCTTTGGCCAAGATGCGGAGAGAACATGCCGATTCACAAAAAGCTTAACAATTTCGCCCACCGTTGTCATCATCATGCTCGTACTTACTATATATTTAGAAGTTTAAATTTTTTTCTGTTTAGTATTTCTAAGAGTTTCACTTTCTTCTCATTATGGGTGGAAATGAAAAATTTTTCACGACTATTTTTTGTTTTTGACGATGTTGTGCCTTGCGTGAGCGTGTTTGCATTCAAAAGTCTATTTCTCATGTCCATCTCTAGAGTGTATTTGGCTTAAATTTGAACGCTGGCATAACAAAAGCTGTGGCTTTGAATAACAAACGTCTTGCTATCCAATAATAACGGTCTATGCTGGAACTCTACACATAAGCACTTGCCAAGTATAGTGAAATAAATTGCATTAAAAAATCATTTGCAAACATGCGCAACGATCCGCATTGAGTTTCTAGACAAAAAAGAACCAACTAAGTTTGGTTTTACTTGTAACATTTTTGCCTTTTTACTTGGTAATGTTTTAATCTAATTTGAATTAATTATTCGAACACGAAAATTATTTCAATTCAAACTTTTGTTGCCTCCCCGAACTACTACACAGCTCGTTTTGTGGTCGGCCCGTGGAATTTGAGGTTTTTGCCACATAATGACCAAAATGTAAAGGCATGTGTGCTGATATATACGTGTACATGATGTGTGTGTGTTTGTGTGTGGCAGCAATTACAGAACTAAAACATATTTTCGCCTTGCTACATTTATTTGATGCTAAGCACCTCACAGCCAAATGCTAGGCGGAATTGCAAGCGCAGAAATGTATGCTATGGAATTTCAACTTGCTCTCATGTATGCGACCTAACGAGCGCCTTTACATGCTACATTATACGGCATTAAATCTGTGCATAATGCATCAGCATTTGAACCCACTGACCAAAAACTCTACCAAGTAGGGTGAGAATGAATATTAAAGTTTGTAACATTCTCCTACGGCCAGAAGTGAAAAGTTAATGACATTTTTGTGAATGAGCTGACACCGAGAACTTAAACATTTTTGTTGTGTAATAACAATTTAGGCATTCTCTCATCACCTCGGCTTAGATGTTTTTCATTGTTACAAAAGTTCTGTAATGAAAAGGAAAGATATATCTGCTCGTAGGCTATAATTTTCACTCATAACTGTAGTGTATTGTATAAAATCAGATTGCAATTAATGCATATGTTTGTTTTCTCTTTGTGGTACAATAGTCAGAGACTCTAAAAAAAAACTGGTAAATAAAAAACATATAGCTTACATTAAAGTTTACTGTGTGGAGCTCTTATTTATCAGACTTCAAAGTTCATAGGAAACTTTAAAACTACTGAATTAAGGAATTGCAAAATGTGTCAGAAAAGTTACATAACACCACTTTCTCCAATGGATGGAATAGATGGATAATTTGAACAAATTAAAAAAACTCCTTTTCAAATATTTGTTGACCATTTCTGCAAGCCTATTTTTTAAAACTTATTTTTTTTTTTATTATATCAACAAATGAGCGCGGATTTCAATAAATATATGTAATAATAGTGCATAATATATCTGCCTGGAAACACGGTCCATTGAGACATTTAATCACAAACGAAACACTAAAGATGATTTTTGATTTCGCAGAGACTTCTAGAGCATTCCTCGTCTGTGTTAGGCCTACACAATTGCATACAAATAACTTATATAGAATAGTATATTAGGCTTAGCTCGGCACGCACTTTCAT